TTAGCTTCGGAGCTAGTAGCGTTAGCTCCAGAGCTATTCAATATCACGTTAGCTTCAAAACTATTAGCGTTAGCTCCAGTGTTAGTAGAGCTAGCTCTCGAACTAATAGCTGTTCATTATCACCCACAGAATGTATTGTGCCGATAAAATAACGGTGAAATGGCATGAAAATTTTAATAAAACATATATAATTTTTTTAAGCAATTAGGAATTTTTATGTGTCACAAACAGCTACTTTTAGTAGAATGGAGAAATAACATACATTCAAGTAGTCAAGAGATCCCTTTAAAGTATTTTTTCCCTCTGGTTAGGGGCGGGTGATGATGTGGGTGGACCTTTTCCCCAAATCTCTGGGACCACCTGGACCTCCGTTCAACGTCACACCACGCAAGGCCAGAAAGTATGAACACACACTCTCATACATCTACCATTGACAAACATCTGTATCTTGAACTAACGAGTGAACCAATCGAACAATCGATTTATTAGACTCAAACTGAAAAACTGACAAAGTTTTCTCAAACTATTTCCGTTGGCCAACAGGACACACCAACATAATGAAAAATATATATATATATATATATATAAATATATGGATGTTTTCTGTTTAGTTTCTACTCCCATTTTCTATTGAACTCGAGTGTTTTCTTAGAGGCTTCTGTTGCTAAAAAAAAAAAAAAGTCTGAAAACGTAAAGATTCTTACTGTGTAAGGATCTCTTGTCCGCACCACAACTTTTAATCTGCTCAAGATAATTTAATGAAACTTAATACGAAGGTCAAGGTCACAAATGGAGATGTTAAACAAGGTCTTATGCTTGTCTGGGCTATAAATTCGATCCGCTCAAGATGATTTAAGAAAACTTCATACATATTTGTACCACCGCTAGACGAGTGTGTCGCATAAGCTTTTAACCACCCTAGCTTTAAGGTCAATGTCGAAGGTTAAGGTCAAATGTTATACAAGGCAGTGTATCCACTACCATTATACTAGGAGGGTGCCCCGCCCGGTCAACAGAACCGAGCACCCTGCCTACCGAACCGAACTGTCCTTCTCCCCCCGTCGACAAAAATCCCGGAAGAGATGAGCACCCTGCCAAGGCATGTAACCCACGGGAGACACTGCAAGGTCTTCGTTTGTTCGGGCCATTGCGATAGATTATTGTATAACAGTTTGTCGACGGGTGTATAATGTGCCGTGTGTGTCTAGTGTTAATAGTGGTCGTAACAATGAGTTAAAACCAGGCGAAAGTGTCCACGGGGCAGAAATTCTGATGCCCCAAATGAGACTATTGGAGCTGGTTGTTTGGGTCACTGCCGACCTTAACGAACACGACGGTGAACAGGATCGCCCCCATGGATTGGCCACCATTGTTTTTGCGGTATTTTTGTTTTATCTTCTAATCTAGATCTTAGCCATTCGTCCGTTTGTTTTTCTGGGGATTTGTTTTCCCCAATAAAATGTGAATTATTTCCTAAACATTAACATGAACATCAGGTACAATCGAACTGATTGTCACGACAACGAGCCGGTCGAGTTAGTGTTTACTCTGCTTTCATCGTCAAACGATCCACTATCAATTCGTTATTTGATCAATTTATTATAATTTGTTGGAGCTGAGCTTTAAAGTAAAAGTTCGTTAACTCCTGGTTTTTACTCGTGTTCAGCGTCAGTCCATCAGAACCTGAGGCCGCCTCTGTTTCTGTTCAGGTTCCTCCTGCGCTGCATCATCTGGAACACCAGTGACGTCCTCCTGGACGACGTCAGCATCAGCGGGGAGAAGATGAGCGACATCTACGTCAAAGGGTGAGAGGAGGTGGAGGTTTTCTCTCCTCTACTTCCTGTCTGAGATGACCTGCTCTCTGAAAGCCCGACTGTTTGTGTCCCTCAGCTGGCTGGACGGGCACGAGCACAACAAGCAGAAGACGGACGTCCACTACCGCTCCCTGGGCGGAGAGGGAAACTTTAACTACAGGTTCCTGTTTCCCTTCCACTATTTACCGGCAGAGCAGCTGTGTGTCGTCGACAAGAAGGTAACCACGAGCAGATCTCCTGTCTGAGAAGAGCTTAACACTTCAAAAATATATATGTGTTTTAAAGGTTTAGAGAATGGAGAACGTAATATACTGAATGGACAACCACAACACAGTCTGTAGCTAACAAGGTTATAATTGTGCCGCCATCTTTGTAGGTGCTACGAGGTGTAGCCTACCATAGGCGTCGCCACCCAGCGCTCTTTCTACTTCTTGGTGAACAAATCCATTCCACTTGATTCATAGGAGAATACTCAAACTAATAAAAGTCCACTCCAGGTTTTCCTGGTTACCTACAACAACTCACCACACTTCATGAAGTGTTTCTCCTCATTTACTTGGCTTGGCAGGGCACTCACGGGGGGAGGAGGGGGAGACACCTCTGTGTTGCGTGCTAGCTTAGTGCTACGTTAGTGCCGGCAGTTGTTGACTGGGGTTGGGGTTAGGATGCATGAGAGAAGCGAAGCATGCTCTATTCACACAAGGAGAGCTGTTGGTCAGGCTACTTCTTGATGTGTCATTAACTCTAAAACAGTTATTGAATCAAATGTTTACTTGTGTAGGTAAATGTTGATGTTTAACAACATGTTAAAATACACCAGAATACAGGACATCTACTTCATTCAAAAGAAATGCCTCAGACCCGCCCCCCCCCCATCAATGTGTAATCCCCAAATTACAATTACTTCTGATGCCAATGCACCAGGCAATTAAAAAAAAAGTCCAACGGTTTACCATTAATTCTTATAAGTATCAGAGAAAGTAGTATTGTTTTTATTTTTTTAAATACCAGTTTAATCCAGTATAATTACACAAGGACTAGATTAGATTTCTGTAATTACTGTTAATCTGGCACTAAGGCTCAGAAGATATCTGAAAAATAATCTTCACTTTTAGTGGCACATTTTTTAAAAATATCAACCTTCAGTGAACCTCCATGTTTTACCTTTTTATAGGTAAAACCAATTAGCTAAATAATAGTGAATTAGAAGCTCAGCTATCCTTGTCTAAATACTTCAAAGTATTTATATTCGTATAAATATTTATATATGTAAATATATTTTCAGATTTATTCATAAACAAAGTAAATAAGTTTACCTCCTTAGTCTTTGTGCATTTAACTACAGATATTGTTTGAGCTCTGGTTAGACTAAACCAACGTAAAGAATTTAACCCTCCTGCTGCCCTTGGGTCAAAAATGACCCACGAGGCCTCGTTTGACCCAAGGGCAGCAGGAGGGTTAATTATTGAAGAACTGGTACGTACTGGTTTGGCTAAAATCCTTTCAGCACAAACAGAAGTGGTTATTTTTCAAAACAAAACACCCTGAAGACCTTTGTCTGTAAAAAAAATTTCATTTATAAAAGTTTTTTAATGTTTTAAAGAAAAGTTTTTCATTTTCCTATGCGGCCCTGAACCAAGTGATCCATAGACCAGTACTGGCCCATGGCCCGGTGGGTGGAGACCCCTGAATTAAATGATTGGATTTAAGATGGCAGAAACCCACTTTGGTCTTGGATCTGCTCAGACTAGCTGTTAGCCCGTCAGTCCAGTCAGAACTGAACAGGTAAGATATTGACTGCACGTAGCCTTTCCACACAACCTCACTTTAACCACCTCAACATCGTTTTACAAACGATACAAGATTTAAAGGTAATATTTCAACCGCTGAGAGCCGAGTCAGAGCTAAAGGTTTGGTCAGCAGAAGTATTTTAGGTGAGCCCCCCCTGCGAACTGATCCACCGAGGCCTCTGATTAACAAAAATAATGATGTGACAGTTCCTCAAGAAGAAGTGGATGCTGGCGAATCCTCGAGACTCAACAAAAACATGCAGCGAGGAGCTAAAACAACATCCCGCCAAACGCTGGAATAACAGCCCGCCTCTCGTTTGCTTGCCTTGGCCCGGGGCCGAGCCTCTTTAGCCGCTCGCAGCCGACGTGTTTTACGGTGGTGCTCGCTCGCTCGCACCCGCGTCTTCAATCAGCGCGCAGCCGAAAAGACGGGAGGGAGTTTTAAACGAAAAGCTCTGCCGGGTGGAGAGCGTCGACCAAGGGACGGAGCCAGAAACAGCGTCTGTGGAGCCAGAAACCTCCGAGGCTGATGAACGGAGCCGTCAGCGCGCCGAAACTGGGAGGTGTCGGACTGGGATTAGTTCATCACTGGGTTTATGACCCAAACAACATAAACCAGTAAATCAGAACTATTTAACCCAGTC